ATTTTTTTTGCTTTTCCAGCGAGATCAAGTGTTGACGCAGCTAGACTACCTGACGTCACTTGGGCTTTTGACTTCACCAAAGCTTTTGGCGTCACCTGAGTGGCTGAAATCACTGGAACTTTTGACATCACTGGACTAGCTAGCGTGGCCGTTTTCATTTTAGCGACTGACAACAGCGGAACTTTTGACGTCACAAGAGATACCGACGACAAAGTTGTAGCTGCTGATAGCGACTTATTGGAGGAGAAAACTTTACTGAACGATGACACCTTTGTTGAAGACGAGTCAACATGGAGCTCGAGACGGTGGTGGCCAGTCGTCGTCGCCGGAGGTGGCAGTGTAGCTGTAGAAGTAACAAGGTACTTTGCTGCCTCGGATGAAGGTATCTGAGCTGCAGGATGTTCCTGTGTTGGTATCATAGTGTTGGGCGGCCGACTTAGAGATGGTCTAGCATGCAGGCGGTTACCTGCACTGAAGGATCCCTTTAAGATGTCCTTTTGCTGTGTATTGCTGTTAATTGTGACTGGATCTTGACCTGTGGGTGGACGGGGACTGACGTTCTGGAAATCGTGTCGATTTAAGAAAAATTTGTGCTCGGAGGGGGTCGTGGAAGACCTTGGTGTCGGTCCTACAGAGGTAGATGAATGCTGCTGTGCTTGTGGGAGGGGTGACGGTTCTTGGGATAGCCCACTGATTCTTCCTCCCTGGGCTAAGTCCTTCAGTGACATAGAAAACGATATTTTCTGGGTCCGTTGCTGAACTCTCCCAGTACTTGAGTGTAGCTGATCTGGAGCACCGCTGAGACTACTTGATGGGGAGTTAGTTCTTCTCTGGAAAGACGAACCAGAGACTGCTGGTGGACGGCGGGCTTCTTGTGGTGGTGGACGAAGTGATTGTAGCCGTTGTTGTGGTGGTAGACGATGTGATGGTGGTTGTTGTTGTTGTGATTGGTGTGGTTGGCGAAATAAGGAATAGTGTGGTGCTGGGAAAATGAATTTTGGTTGTTGATTTGGTTGTTCCTGGAGACCCTGACTTTGACCGACAAATGTCTGTTGTGAAGGATTCTGGTGGTGGGACTTGAGAGATCTTTGAGTGGCAGGTGTTGAGACTTGCGGATGGAACACCAGAGGATGGACAGCGGCAGGATTTCGTTGAGTCGTGGTTGTTGATTTCGGTCGTGGTTGGATCAGAAGACGACTGATAGGTGAAGGACTGCGTTGTGTCGCGGGTGACGTTGATGGTGGTGGTGGTGGTGGTCGTCGAGGCTGGAATTCAAGACGGTGAAGAAGGGGAGGGGGAGAAGGTGGTAGCGTAGAAGATCGTTGTGACGAGGAAGTGTTCTCATGTGGCGCTAAAGGAAGGTGTCTTGGAGGAATAGACAGAAGTTGTTTTGATGACGGAGTTTGGGGTATTGGTGAGGCAGAATCGCCTTCGCCTGGTAGTGGACGATTCTGCTGTTTTGTTGTTGAACTTTGTGAGGGAAGATTTGGCGGAGATGGTAGTTCAGAAGTTGATGGAGGAGGAGGAGGAGGACCATTGAATTGTTGTCTTTGGGAAGATAGAGGGTTACTTGGTGGGGGCGTTGGTCTTTTTGGTTGTGTCTGGTCTGATTGGGGGGCAAACCCATTATGTTTTCCAGTAAAAGGTTCTCCATAACGGAGAGGAGAGTACCCTCGTGAACTATGATTTATATGAGGTCCTCGGGCACGAGGAAGGTGTAGTTCCTGACGGCGCGGTTCTTTTCTTACACCAAACGACTCCTGAACCCAAGGATGCAGAGGAAGCTTTGATCTCAAGTTTTCCTTCAGATTGTCAAGAGTTGTACTGAACGTGTTGGCTTTTATTGGTATTTCAGTTGTCGTGGAAGAAAGTTCACCTTTATATTCCTTAAACTGCTTTTCATTATCGTTCACATTTAAGGACTCCAAAGGCGGATGAGAAACAGGATTGGGGGGATGTACTGCACTGTTCTTGGTAGCCAACGGAGACGTACAAGAGGAGGAGGAGTATTGTGCACGTCCCCTGCCCAAGACTTCCACGCGTGTGTTTCCAACTGACACAAAACTGATAGAGAGACCTGCCTGGGCTGTGTCTTTACTGGCCTCGAGTATGTCTTTCTTGACCGTAGTGGATAAAGACGGCTGTGTCCTAGATGATGATGGTGGAGACGGCTGTGTTCTAGATGATGATGGTGGAGACGGCTGTGTTCTAAATGATGATGATGGAGACGGTTGTGTTCTAGATGATGAAGGTGGAGACGGTTGTGTTCTAGATGATGATGGTGGAGACGGTTGTGTTCTAAATGATGATGATGGAGACGGCTGTGTTCTAGATGATGAAGGTGGAGACGGTTGTGTTCTAGATGATGATGGTGGAGACGGTTGTGTTCTAAATGATGATGATGGAGACGGTTGTGTTCTAGATGATGAAGGTGGAGACGGTTGTGTTCTAGATGATGATGGTGGAGACGGTTGTGTTCTAAATGATGATGATGGAGACGGCTGTGTTCTAGATGATGAAGGTGGAGACGGTTGTGTTCTAGATGATGATGGTGGAGACGGCTGTGTTCTAGATGATGATGGTGGAGACGGCTGTGTTCTAGATGACGAAGGTGGAGACGGCTGTGTTCTAGATGATGATGGTGGAGACGGTTGTGTTCTAGATGATGATGGTGGAGACGGCTGTGTTCTAGATGATGATGGTGGAGACGGCTGTGTTCTAGATGATGATGGTGGAGACGGCTGTGTTCTAAATGACGTGGGTCTTTGGTGCCTAAACACTAAAGACTTCATCCGCGATGGATTTGGTCTTGAAGACGAAGACTGCGATCCAAAGACTGGAATATAGGACCTGGTCTGAGACGGCCTTGGCCTGGTCTGAGTTGCCTGGAGTTTGAAAGGAGTCACTGTGTGAGACCTGGATGAAGGTGTCGGGGTCCTGGGTTGGGTGATCTCTGGCAGAGTCGTGCCCGGTGAACCATTATCATTTTTCTTGAAAGAAACCTTCAAAGGGTCCTTGTAGTGGGTAGTGAGTTGTGTAGTCCTTGTGTAGCTGTCTTCAGGAGTCACACCCGTGTCACCCGTCGTGGTGGGTAAGATATCAAAGTCCAGCTTAGGTTTAGGGTTAGAGTTGTGAAGCTCTGCCAAAGACAGAAACTCAGCGCTAGACAATAGTTTTGGCAACTCAATCTTTGGTTCTTTGTCTGTAGTGAGTGTTGTAGTATACTGCGACTCTTGTGGATTTGGTTTGTTGAGCTTTACATACGGTGGAGGAGGAGGCAGAGGGCGGAGAACTGACTTTGAGTTCTTGCGTCCGCTAATAAGAGGTTGGTCTCTGTTTTGGGTCTCTGGGTGAGGTCTGTGTTGCCTCAAGGTTGGTATTTTGCCCGTAAAGAGGTCCAGCACCGGATCTACAGTGATATTTCTGTTATCTGTTGTGGAAGTTGATTGGGTGTGAGAACCACGTAGTCGGTGTCCAGGACGACCTAGAGTCATGGATGGTCTTCTTGGTCTTAATAAAGGTCGGTTGAGAGGTCGGCGAGGTTTGGGTGTGATGATTGGGGGCCTGTGAGGTCTCGACGAGGTGCGGCCTCTACCAGAAACTCCGACTGGGTGTAAAATTGGTTGGTAGTTTTCCTGGATAAAACTGTCATCATTTTCACTTTCAACGTGAGGTGTGGGATGATGGTCCTTGTGCCTCTGTATACCTGGTGCTTGTGGACGAGGACGTCTTAACGATGGCAACTTGACAGGTCTTCTTGAGGAGTCCGGAATACCTAGAGGTGGAAGCCGACTTACTACACCTTTAAGTGGATGTTCCCTCACTGACGGATTTTGCAGTCGAGGTCTACCATTTGGTACAGGTCTGATCTCAAATCGTAGAGGCGTCTTGTCTCGTGAGTCTTCCGCGGGTGGCCTGTGAGTGTGCGTGGGCCTGTCTCCTGGGCCGTCGTAATTTGCGGCGGTGATGTCATCTGATGACGTTTGAACTTGGTGTTCTTCTAGTGGAGGGCCCGTAAGCTCCTCCTCAGAGAAAAAAATCAATTGTGGTTCCTCATGAAGTCTGGTTTCCTCAAATGAAGGGAAATTTCTCGGGGGAGGAAGTACGGTGATGGATTTTGAAGATGAAACTAAGGGTGGTGGATAGGATTTGGAGTCATCTGGCCCTTGTGACACGGGCACTGCCGACGTCACTTGTGGTGCTTCCTCGACGTGGGAGGCAAAGGGCGTTAGTTTGGAGCTCTCATCGATAGGAAAACCGTCATGTGTGATGAAGCTGTGTCCTTGTTGGTCTCTGTCGAGGGTGTCAGAGAAAGACGTAACTGCAGGTGGGGAAGGGGCGTCATCTGCCGGTCTCCATCCAGAAGGAAAACTTAAAGATCCGGGGGTAGAGCTGCCACCCAGATGATCTTCAAAGGTTGGCTGCGTCGGTCTCAACGCTGTAGTGTCTGAGGCTTCGTATTGTGGTCCTTCTTTGTCCTTTGGTGTAGAAGGATATACTCCATTAAGGTTCTGTCTGCTGTTGGGGCCAGACGGCTTCTCAATGATACCCGAGATAGACTCATAGATCGCTTTAGTCGTCCGCTGTTCTGGCGTCAACTGCTTGTCGTCGATATCCAAGTCCCGTCGCACCTCTTTTTCTAGAAGCTTCAGCCTCTCATCTTTAGGAAAAGGAAGCGGTGAAAACGACGGGTCATTGAAAGTTGCCTTAAAAGCTGAATGATAAGGATTTGTGGCAGGTTGACGAGACACATCAGGCGCGAATGCATCAGTGGGACCGAAGTTACCCTGGCCTCCAAAAGAATTAAATTGAAGAGACCCTCCAAACCCCTGCGGCAATGAACCGGATAAGAAGCCTGAGTTGAAGCCTCCAAATCCTCCTGCCAGGCTTAGGCTTCCTAAACCTCCCCCTGAAAGAGAGAGCGGTAAGAGGGGAGGCTGGCCACCTACAGGAACACTCAACTCCGGCAGGAACGGCGAAGATGATATTGTATTACCAACCCCGTCCCCAAACCCCGCACCGAAGCCACCTCTCAGACCAGCTGTGAGCGTTCCCAGGCCTCCAAAGCCTCCAAAGTCGCCACCGAGACCAGTACCTACAAAGATCCCGCCACCGCCTCCGCCGCTACTGTCCAGGAGCCCATACGACAAGGAATGTGTCTGCAGGTGGGAGAAACCGTGCAGTTTTGACAGTTGATCCAGGTAAATACTTTGACAATGTATCGATTTATCAGTATTAGTCTATATTTATATAATTATATCTATCTATTTATCTACTTTATTTATAAGTTTATATCCGTTTCAGTTATTTTTTTCCACTAAATATCGTTTTTATGTTTCATTACTCCTTAGATACTTACAGTATATAGTACAGTATATGTCTATTCATTTACATTATACGCCTCTCTATCTATATTATTCTTTCTTTATACATATTTATCCATCTTACTATCTCTCAATATAACTATTTTCTATGTATGTATGAATATATCTACTTAGGACCATAACCATCTATTTATCTACACACTTATCATTCGGACAAGAGTGACTGACCTGACCAGCTGCGTCAAGGTCGCCTCCCGGGAGCTGACGACGGGTCTTGCGGCTCCTGACCACCACACCATAACCTTCCTTCTGCTTTACCTGGAAAATTCATGTGAGTTCAGTATGTAATTGGCTAAGATAAATAAAGACAATAATAATTGACTTAATAAGATTAAATATTTCACTAAATGTTCTAAGAAGACAAAGTTTTGTATAATAGCTAATTAATATGATTCACTATAAAGCCTCGCACTGTATTGGACAAGAGGACTGGTAATAGTAAGGACACATGCTGGCTGCACGTTTAGGTAATGGCAGTACTACTGTATACTGTCACGGCAGTAAACTTTATAAAGGTTATACAAAAACTGACCGAAGGAAACAAAAGAACAGGAATAAATACTCTCTACATACATCACTGTTTGTGTCAGACTGACGTTCCGCTGCTCTCCTGAGTCTCTTCCCAACAGCCGGACGGTTCACGTGGGAACTCCATCTTGTACACTGACTACTTCCCTGATCGCAGGATGCTGAATTATCCTTAGGCAGAATTTCAGGTCCGGTGTGCATCCTGTGTTCCTCAGAAAAATCTTTCGTTGTTGCGTGTAGCTGGTAGACTTTGTCCTCGTGCACCTCTACTGTGCGTAAACCAGAGTATTTACCATTCTCCTCTTCGGGTAAGGAGAGATTCGCTAATCCTGAAGGTCTGCCAATCACATAAGCTGCCACATGATGTGACCTGGTGATAAGGGCCTCTGTAAGGGTCACATGGATGACACAAGTGATGATCAAGAGCGTACAGCACCATCCTACCAGGGTTGTTGTTCGCCTACTCATTCTGACGCAGCTCCTGGAGGAGATAAAATACATACGATATAAAACAACAATTAAGGTTATTAGTTATTATTAAAGGAGACGACAGTCAGTGGTAATTCGAAGACACTTCTAATATATCTACTGTGCTTCTGTATATACGACCTAGCCGCTGGTATCCAGCGGGGGGAAGCTGGGTAAGCGGTGAAAGGAGGGTCGTAACAGTATTTTCTCAATTAACTTATATAATGTGATTAAAGGTTACTTCCTATTGCAGTTATTGGCATCGAGCACCAAGAAAAATTAATCTAAACTTACTTAAAATCAAGTTAAATATACACGCAAGTAGCCGTCGGGTCAGTTATTGTGAGACTATGGTATTTAATTATTTGTGAAAAGTAACGTCAGCCAAACTAACATGATCTAAGCAAGTTCAACTTACCTAACGATCTAAGTTTATATTTTCAGATTAGAGTAGGTTAGGTTATATACTTTGTTACTGTCATATTTCAATAATGATTTAATGCCGTAGTCTAACAGATCTTGCACATTAACAACAACAGCCAATTTACCTACATCGTGTTCATAGTCGTGTTTTTTATGCCAGCTGCCAACTGTCTCTTAAATATCTGCTATTCAGTAAAAGAATATTAATAATTTTTTATCTTGATTTGTCATCCTTCTAACGTGATGCGCAAGTCAATCACTACGTTAGACAGACCGATCATCCAATTACCACAGGAAAGTAAATCATACAAAACACTCAATGGTGTAACATACATTTCTCTCTTACATATAAAAATAACTTGTTCTATTGATCTGATTCTCGTACACTCTAAATTCTTTTTTATCTTAACACAAAAACAACGTACTATAAGCCCTTTCTACCCCTCGAGAGGTGAGGTAAAATAATCACCCTCATGAGCATCGTTGTTAAGGGCGTCACACGAGTTAGAGTCAACGACACTATTCACTCACAACACTTTCCCAAACACTGGCTAACAATGGCTGCAGTCTCTTAACGCTTCTTTACACACCTTCTGCAGCGTTTGGCATACTCTTTCATCTCACACTTACTGTTTCACCACACACACTTACTGCTTCACCACACACTTACTGTTTCATCACACACTGTTTCACCACACACTTACTGTTTCACCACACACACTTTCTGTCTGTTTCACCACACATATTTACTGTTTCACCACATACTTACTGTTTCACCACACATATTTACTGTTTCACCACATACTTACTGTTTCACCACAAACTTACTGTTTCACCACACACTTGCTGTTTCATCACACGCTTATTGTTTCACCACACACTGTTTCACCACACACTGTTTCACCACAAACTTAATGTTTCACCACAAACTTACTGTTTCACCACACACTTACTGTTTCACCACAAACTTACTGTTTCACCACACATACTGTTTCACGACAAACTTACTGTCTCACCACAAACTTACTGTTTCACCACACACTT